CAGTACTCGCTCTCCTGGTTCATCAACTTGTTCATCGCCAGCATCCAGAACAGCGATCGATCGCCCGATCTCACCCAGCGACTGCACAATCTTGACGCTCATTTCACGTACTCGCTTTATCGCAATATCTGTCGCTCCTTGTTGGAGAAAGACAAACTCATGTTCTCGTTCCTACTCTGCATTTCTATCAAGCAAGGAAAACACGAAATCGAGAGTAGCGAGTGGTATTTCTTGCTCACTGGAGGTGTAGCGCTCTCTGAACCGCCTCCGAATCCGGCCAAGCTGTGGCTAAGTGACAAACAGTGGGCCGAATTCTCGAGACTAAGCGCACTACCAGCGTTCCAAGGCATCATCGAGGATTTCGTCGATAACGAGGACCAATGGAAGGCTGTGTATGATAGTCCAATCGGTCATACTCTCCCGTTCCCCGGTGTGTTAGGGAAAGTTAGTGAGTTCCGTCGACTACTCGGTCTACGATGTATCCGTCCTGATCTTCTCGTCGTTGGAATTCAGCAGTTCCTGGTCAAGGAAATGGGTGAAAAGTTCGTCAAACCTCCGCAGTTCGATTTGGTGCTCTCTTACTCGGACAGCAGCGTGTCGTCGCCTTTGGTGTTCATCTTGTCGCCTGGATCCGATCCGATCAGCTCTGTGCTGAAATTTGCCGACTCGCTTCGTCAAAGAGCAGAAACGATTTCTCTTGGTCAAGGTCAAGGCCCCATTGCCGAGCGTATGATTGTCCGTGCGCGTGAAGCAGGCTCTTGGGTTGTGTTGCAGAATTGCCACTTAGCACCAAGTTGGATGCCAGTGATGGAGAAGATTGCGGAGGATATTAAGCTTGACAACACACATCCAGATTTCCGGTTATGGTGCACAACGTACCCGTCCGATGTTTTCCCCGCAGCTGTACTGCAAAATGGAGTTAAAATGACGAACGAACCGCCACAAGGTCTTCGTGCAAACCTCATGAGCTCGTATATGTCCGACCCCATAGGTGAGCAAGGGTTCCTGGAATCTGTGGTCAAAGGCACAGAGTTCCGTGTACTTCTTTACTCGCTGTGTTTCTTCCACGCTTTGGTGCGTGAACGTCGCCAGTTTGGTCCTTTGGGCTGGAATATTCAGTACGAATTCAACGAGTCCGACCTGAGCATCAGTATTCGTCAACTAGCCATGTTTATCGATGAAAACGCGCAGTTGCCGCTACGTGCGTTGAATTACTGCACCGGTGAGTGTAATTACGGTGGGCGTGTGACGGACGACAAGGACCGACGGACACTTATGTCTGTTCTGGGCAAATTCTACTGCGTAGACGTGTACAAAGAGGGCTATGCGCTCGGATGAACGAGGGGTCTACACAATGCCGCCTGATGGTGACTATGAATCGTATCTTAAGTTCATTGAAAGTTTGCCGCTAGTGGCTCCTCCGGGAGTGTTTGGACTGCACGATAATGCAACGATCACGAAAGATCAGAATGCAACAGCCAAGCTCTGTCGCGACGTGCTACTTACTCAAAGTTCGGGTGGTGGCAGTGAAGGCAGTAGTGGATCATCCCAAGAAGAACTCGTCGAAGTCGTAGCCAACGATATTTTGTCACGTTTACCGCCGAACTTTGACATGGAAGTCGCGCAGATCCGATACCCAGTGCGTTGGGACGAGTCGATGAACACGGTGCTCTGTCAAGAACTCGTACGCTTCAACAACCTCATGTCAACTATCCGCTCGAGTCTTGAAAGCTTGCAGAAAGCCTTAAAAGGCCTCGTGGTCATGTCGGCAGAGCTCGAAAATGTATCCAAGAGCTTGTTCTATGGAAAAATCCCAGCACTGTGGGCGTCCAAGTCGTACCCTTCGCTGAAGCCACTCGGTAGCTACGTGACGGACTTACTGGAGCGCATTGCGTTCTTCAACACGTGGCTACTGGAAAAACCTCCGGTTGTGTTTTGGATCTCGGGTTTCTTCTTCACGCAAGCGTTCTTGACTGGTGCCAGTCAGAACTACGCGCGAAAGTACACTTTGCCAATTGATCAGCTGGGGTTCGACCACGAACCGATGCCACGGAATGACTACGCACAGCCACCAAAGGTACGCTTGCAAATGACAAAATAAGGTGAGAACTGGTAACTTATGAGTCGTTTTACTTTTGTCAGGACGGTGTGTATGTGCGCGGGTTGTTCCTCGAAGGTGCCAAATGG